ACTCTTGTCTCCAAGCCATCAATAAGTTATTATATTTATTTATTTTATGTTTGCTTACTGTGTCCTAGCTTCTTGTTTTGTTTTGATATGCCCAATAGGCTGCTTGTGTGAGCTAGTTTGATTATTGGTGTCTTTGAAGCTCTAACGTCCTGTCACCAGGGGGTTAGATCTGTTACTAGGTATGTGAGCCCACGAGTCTGTTTACTTTTCTTGTATGGGTTCAGCTCTGGTGTCCAGATAGTCTGTCATCAAGTGTGTGATGGAGGCTCTCACCTACAATCCTAGATGGGCAGGTGTGATTGGAGTAGGTACAGGTATCTGGCTGCAGTGTGGGGGGGGGTCACATGCTGAGCAAGGCAGGGGGCTGACGGCTGCCCCCACATGTATGGGAGGAAAGTGTGTCTGTGTTCCCTAGAGTGCGTAGGTGGGTGGGTTTTTCAGCCAGAATATGGGCACCCAGTGCTATTGGCTGTAATGTCTGGGAGGCACCACTTATTCTTGGACCCCTGTCACAGGTGGCTAGGTGGCGCAGGTGGAGCCACCAATCCTCTGGCCCCTGACGTGGGTTTGTGAGGACCCTGCTTAATGGGCAGAGCGGTATCAGTCATCACAGATCTGCCACTCCATCTATATGCAGCTGATACAGTGAAGTTAGGCTTCAGGTATTGTCATGGATTGAATTAAGTCGCCTGAAAAATGTGTGTATCAATTTGGCTGGGCCATGATTCCTGGTATTGTGTGGTTTTACTATAAGTTGTAAATCCTGCCTCTGTGATGTTAATGAGGGAGGATGGGCAGCAGTTGTGTTAGTAAGGCAGGACTCAGTCTACAAGATTGGACTGTATCCTGAGGCAATGTCTTGAGATACAAAAGACAGAAGTCAGCAGTGAGACAGGGGAACCTCATACCATCAAGAAAGCAGTGCTGGGAACAGAGCACGTCCTTTGCACGGGGTCCCTGCGCCGAGAAGCTCCTAGTCCGGGGGAACACTGATGAGAAGGCCGACAGAGAAAGACTTCCACTGGAGCTGACACCCTGAATTTGGACTTTTAGCCTACTTTGACTGTGAGGAAATAAACTTTTCTTCATTGAAACCATCCACTTTTGGTATTTCTGTTATAGCAGCACTAGATGACTAGGACAGAATTTGGTACCGAGAGCGCGGTGCTGCTCTAACAGATACCTAAAATGTGGAAGCGGTTTTAAAACTGTGAATGGATAGACGCGCGGCAGTGACAGAGGACCAGCAGCAGCAGAGAAGCAGCAGCAGCAGAGAACCAACAGCAGCAGAACCAGGAGACCGGTGAAAGACGGCGCTGGAGCCACCCACGGAGCGAGAGAGCTGAGTTCCTATGCGCGGGAGGCTTCCTGGCAGAGTGGGGTGCCTCCGGGCACTTACCGGTGGAGCTACTGAGCTTTGGAACGCTTGCCCCAGCAGGGCAAATGCGGGCGTGAGGCCTGAGGGCCGAGAGGCCATAGGAAGCAGAAGCTGAAGAGACAGGGGACACAAGAAGCCGAGTTGCTTCAGTCTCAAAAGGTATGGCCATGACCTCAGGGGTTTCAAAGGGTGGAGCCATGGCCTCTCGTGTTTCTAAGGGTGGAGTTGTCACTCCGATGGACTAGGAGAATGGTGCACCTGAAGCCAAGGGAGCAGAGTTGCTGTCCCAGTGGGCCTGGAAGGCAGAGCTGAAGCCCAGGGCTGAGAGGCCTCCACTCAGAATCCGGAGAATGTGCCAATACCTAGAGTCTGGAGGGCAGGGCCATTGTGTAAATTGTCTCAGAGAACAGAAGATTATTTTCAAACCTTGAAGGCTAATGTAATGTGTTCTGCTGACTTGCTAGGTGCCTGTTATCACTTCTTTTCCTCTAGTTTCTCCCATTTGTAATGGAAATGTCTAGCTTATGCCTGTTCTGCCATTGTACCTTTGGAAGCAGATAACTTACATTCTAGATTTTACAGATGAAGAGGAATTTTTGGATTTTGGACTTAGAGTTAAGACTTTGGCTGTGATATGATGGAGTGAATATGTTTTCCATGTTGCAAGGATGTGATTTTTGGGGGGCCAAAGGGTGGAATGTCATGATTGAATTATGTCCCCCAAAAAATGTGTGTATCACTTTGGCTGGGCCATGATTCCTGGTATTGTGTGGTTTTCCTATAAGTTGTAAATCGGCCTCTATGATGTTAATAAGGAAGGATGGGCGGCAGTTGTGTTAGTAAGGCAGGACTCAGTCTACAAGATTGGACTGTATCCTGAGGCAATGTCTTGAGATACAAAAGACAGAAGTGAGCAGTGAAACAGGGGAACCTCATACCATCAAGAAAGCAGTGCCGGGAGCAGAGCACGTCCTTTGGACAGGGGTCCCTGCGCCGAGAAGCTCCTAGTCCGGGGGAACACTGATGAGAAGGCCGACAGAGAGAGAAAGACTTCCCCTGGAGCTGACACCCTGAATTTGGACTTTTAGCCTACTTGATTGTAAAGAAATAAATTTCTCTTTGTTAAAACCATCCACTTGTGGTATTTCTGTTATAGCAGCGCTAGATGACTAAGACAGGTATATACCTTATTGTACTATGCTAATGAAGGCCTATGCTGTTGAAATGGCCCCACACAGGTGTATGCAGGGGTGAAAGGCATTCAAAGTCCATGGACCCCTTATGCCTGTGCCGAGGTAAAGGAGCTGTGCCTGCCCTGAGTTTCTAGCTTAGGGGAGCTGACAGATTTTTTTTTCCTGTTTGTTAATTTGTTCCCTCTCCAAGGCTGGGAGAATGGCTCAGGGCACATGACGGGTCCTACTTCTGTCCCAGGGGACCCGGCAATCGCTGAAGCTGGCCTGGGACCCAGTGCAGAGCAGGGAGGGAGCAGGTAAATTGGAGAGAGATTCTTGCCAAATGGGGTGTTTTTTGATCCGCGTGGTAGGTTAAACACACGTACTTATCTTTTGCTGATTGAGCACCACTTTTCACTGGCTCTGGAGGCCTGAGCAGACTCTCTGCCACTCAGTCTCTCCCAGCATGGAAAATGCATCCCAAGCACCACTGCTTGCCTCATTCTGCATGCCAGCTGACCTGGTCTGCAGGATGCTGGCTCCCGCCTGGTCAGGTCTGGCAACTCCTCGCTGCTTCTGAACTGTCTCCTTCCTCCTGCTTCTCAGTCCGATTCTCAACTTTGCCTTTGATGTTCAGGGCTTCTAGATTGTCATATATAATTGATTGACTTGTTTTTTCAGGTCTTTGTTGTAAGAGGGACCACTGGAAATGTCTGACTGCTCTGCCATCTTGGCCCCAGCTCGTTAATTATCTCTCAAAGAGTTTTTAAAAAGAGAAAAATTGTCGCTGTATTTACCCACATATTTACCATTTCCAGCACACTTCATTCCATTGTATTGATCCAGATTTCCATCTGATGTGATTTTTCTTCTGTCTAGAACTTCAGTTAACATTTCTTACAGAGCAAACCCTCTGGCGATGAATTGTTTGCACTTTTGTTTGTCTGAAGTCTTTATTTGGCTTTTACCTGATTATTTTTTGGCTTGCGTAGTAGTTTCTAATAAGAAGTCTGATGTCTTTATTATCTTTGTGCTTCTGTATGTGTTTTTTTTTCCCTCTTATTTTAAGAATTTCTCTATCATTTGTTTCTAGCAATTTAATTATGATGTATCTTGGTGAGTGTCTTATAGTGCTGCTACAACAAATACCACAAGTGGCTGGCTTTAACAAAGAAATTTATTTTGTCACAGTTAGGAGACTAGAAGTTCAAATTCAGGGTGCCAGCTCTAGGGGAAGGCTTTCTGTCTGTGTATTTCTGCGGAAAGATCCTTGTCCCTTCTGAGCTTCTGCTCCTGAGTGATCTTCGTGTGGCTTGGTGTCTCTCTTCCCGCATCTCTGCTTCTTTCCTTTGCTTGTTTAATCTCTTTTATATCTCCAAAGAGATTGACTTAAGACACACCCCACACTAATCCTGTCTCATTAACATAACAAAGACAGCTTATTCCCAAATGGGATTATACCTATAAGCATAGAGGTTAGGATTTATAACACATATTTTAGGGGGGCACAATTTAATCCATAACAGTGGGTTTTTTATTTTTATTTTTTAAACGTTTATTCTACTTGGGCTTTGTTGAGCTTCATGGATATCTGGTTTATAGTTTTCATCAAATGTGGAGTATTTTTTAGCCATTATTCTTTTATTTTTCATGTCCTGCTCTCTTATCTCCAGTTACGTATGTTAGACTGCTTTCTGTTGTATGCCCTATTCAATTATTTTTAGTCCTTTTTCTTTCTGTGTGTCATTTTGAATAGTTTCCATTGTTAGTTTACGACTTCCCTGATCTTTTCTTCTAAGGTGTCTAATATACTGTTGTTTTCATCCAGTATATTTTACATTTCAGATATTGTATTTTTCATTTCTAGAGGTTTCATTTGAGTCTTTTCTTCCATTTCTCTTCTTATAATTTTCATGTTTTCCTCTACCTTCTTGAATATACAGAGCATATTTTTAATAGCTGTTTTAATGTCCTTGTCTGCTAATTCCATTATCACTGTCATTCTTGGATGGGAGAGTAAATCTGGACCTGGTACTCCCATCATGAATGGGAATCAGGGTCTACAGTTTCTCTTTAAAGTCCTTTTTTCTTAGCAAAGACTCACTGAATAATTTCATATCTAGTATCATCTGAATAGTGTTAGATCAAGAGAGCCATGGAGTAGGAATCAAGATCAGGGTCCTATTCCTTGCTCAGCTATTTTAACCCTGTGCTTCTCTCAATATAAACTTGTGTGATCCTCTGGCTAGATTACTTTGAGCAATTCATTTGATCTCTCGGTTTAATTCTCACCTGTAGAATGAGGAGTATGAATGTACTTTATAGCATACTGGGGTGATACAAAGTGTGAAAACAAGAAAATGTGTTAATTCGTTCTGAGGTTTAGCTATTTTCAAACAGAAGCTGTTTGTTAGCACTTAACAGTCTTCATTGTCTACATTTATTTTTAGGCACCATACTGGACATACCTTTTATGTGCCCTGGGACTCTTTATCTATCAGTCACTGGATGCTATTGACGGGAAACAAGCCAGAAGAACAAATTCTTGTTCTCCTTTAGGCGAACTCTTTGACCATGGTTGTGACTCTCTTTCCACAGGTAAATTAGTGGAGTTTGTGCTGTAGTTTTTGTTGTACAGCTAGCTTAAAAACTAAAACCAACTGAGATGTTTGAATGGCTAGTTTTTTGGACAGGTGTACATTTGGGAACAATTTTGCACAGCATGTTTAAAAAGTATATTCAAGAATTACTTTCTAAAGTGTCCATTATATTAATGCCATGATTATATCCTTTAAAGCTCTATTTCTAAACAGTACATTGTGAAAGTATCATTAATGTTTTTTAATTCTTAATAGGTCTTAAACCTTGTTTCTTTCAGTATTTATGGCAGTTGGAGCTTCAATTGCTGTTCGCTTAGGAACCCATCCTGATTGGTTGTTTTTCTGCTCATTTATTGGAATGTTCATGTTTTACTGTGCTCACTGGCAGACTTATGTTTCAGGCGTGTTGCGATTTGGCAAGTAAGTATGCTTTTTTGAGTTGTAATTTTAAAAATGTAATTGAATTTATTTTCACAGTCTGTTATACTTCAGTTATTCATAAAAGGGAGACACAGCTGAAATGAGTCACTTAAATTACCTTTTATCGTAATATTCATAAATGCTACATTTAAATCTTTTAGATATTCTAAATGTTATAATTTGATAAAAAAAATGTATTTTCCTATCTGCAGCTTACTCACTAGCCTAGGCTTACAATAGTCATGAGAAAAACAGTGGACCTGAATTATATAGAAAAAGAGTATGCAGTACTTAATTAAGCAGCACTTGACTTGTTTAATAAAATAATGTGATATGGCATCTAAAGGTCCTTTTTTGGGCAAATCTTCATGTGCTCAAAAAGGGGATCCCTTTGACAGCTGTTCCAACCGTAGGTAATCGTGATAACTCTCAGCTACGGTAGAAAATTGATATAATGTGAAAGCACCTTGTAAATGCTAGAGCTAAACAGTAGATGATATATATGTCTCTGGTGCCTCTTTCTCAGATTGTTGTGTGCTGTTGAGCTGATTCCAACTCACAACAATCCTATATGACATAGTAGAACTGCCCCATAGGGTTTCCTAGGCTGTAATCTTCATGGGAGTAGATCACTAGCCAGGTCTTTTTTCCCACAGAGCAGCTGGTGCGTTTGAACCACTGACCTTTAGGTTAGCAGCCGAACACTTAACTACTGTGCCACCAGGGCTCCCATTTCACCCCAGATATACTGAATTAGAATCAACATTTAACAAGATCCCCAAGTTACTCTTCTGTATGAAAATGTTTGAGAACCACTGCTCTACTAATGGTTCTCAGAATTGGTCCCTAACCAGCAGCATTAGCATCTCCTGGAAATTTGTTAGAAAAGCAAATTCTCAGCAGGGGTTCGAGGCCCTGGTACAAAGCAGGAACACTATTCTGTATTCCTGTTTCTCCTATAGCTCCCTCTCTGCCTGATTCTTTAAGAACTTTCTGCCATTTGCTCATTCTCAGCTATGGCTTGGTACATAGGAGAAATACTAGCTCTGCAGGAGAAGCTCAAAACTAGGGATAGTTTAGCACAGAGAAGGCTTTAGCCAATTTTTCACATTTCACATTTTTCACATTTTCTAAATTATGGAATAATGCAGCTACCACCTATTGAGAACTTGCGTGTTTCAGGCACCGTGCTCAGTGCTTTATATGTATTATCTCATTTATTCCTCACATTAACTCTGTAAGGGTACAAATGATGCTGAGAGTTTTGGTTACTTTCTTATACAGTTAATATGTGGTAGAGCTGGGAGTAAACTCAGGTCTATTTGACTCTAAGCCAAACACTGTTAACGACTGCTGCTAATATTGTGGGAAGGATACACTATACATTCAAGATATAGTTCCTCCTTTAGGAACTGTATGGTACCCGGTATTAAAGAAATGAGATTAACTTATATGACATTGCTAATACAGTCCATAACCAAGTGTAAAATGGCTTGCTTTAGGTTTGTGTAGTTACTGAAGAAATCCTAAGTAGGAGAAGGTAATTGTAGGCTGCATTAGTTTAGGGAAGCTTTTATGAAAAATGTGTTTAGCTGATTCCTGACATTGGTTAGAAGCCAAGGATGAAAAAGTCTAGCTAAAAGTTCAAGGCCACCATGTAAAATTAAGTATCTGTCCCTATTTATAGATTAAGATATGCTAAAGTGGAAAAGCAGGTTTGCAAAGTCTAATGTATTTTAATTTGCTGAACTTGTTGTAGTAAACTGGAGTAATATAATACTGCAGTATCCTGGTTGCTGTTGTTATTATTTAATGATTAACATTTTACCTTTTTTGGCTTCTAATATCATTAAAAATCTGAAATGAATTAGTTCACATCTGGCATAGTTGTAAATATTACATTCATTTACTTTTTATTGAGAGCCTAGTATGTGCTCAGAACTGAGTCACCCTGAGTAGGAATATGCCAGGCAGATTGGGAAGAAAGCATTCTAGGCAGACGCATGAGAAAAGTACTGAGAACACTAGGGGAATGGCTGTTGTGGTTGAACACCAAGCAAGTAGGGGAGTGAAGATCCTGCAGTGCCCCAGGGGGTCAGCCATTAAAAATACTAGCTCTGTATGGCAGATATCCTAAGCAGTATATTTTTCACTTTTCCAAAGTGAAAATATCATGGAGGATTGAGTAGGATAGATTAATGGTTCAGCTTATCAGTGTAACTACAATACTTGTTGCCATTGAGTTGATTCCAACTCATAGTGACCCTATAGGACAGAGTAGAACCGCCCCATAGGGTTTCCAGGGAGCATCTGGCAGATTCGAACTTCTGACCTTTTGGTTATCAGCAGCCAAGCTCTTAACCACTGTGCCACCAGCGCCCCACAACACTACAATAAGGATCTATATTGTAGGACATCAACCAAGCCTCTGGAAATGCTTACACACGCTGGGCCAGTGTCTCAGATGGGCTTCCTGGTCTGTCAGTTTTTTTAGAGGTTTAACTTTTATAGTATTCATAGTATTAGAATACAGATATATGAAACCTAGCTGAACAGTCTCAAGATATACTGTAGAAATTTGTTTTATGAATAAATTCATGGTTTAAGCCTGTTTACATGGTTTCCTTTTTTTCTAAAAGACTGTAGAAAAAATATGCCTAATGAGGATTTGCTTAGTTGAGCTAAAGATTTTACATAAGATTTTACTTACATTACTGTATTTCTGCTACTTAATTTTTCTCCAGTTTTCAGAGCCCTTTACATTTATGTGTTAGTCAATATTGATTCTGCTTTAAGCCTAATTAGTTAAAAGCACAGGCTCTGGAATCAGACTGGATAGAATCAAATTCTGACTCCAACATACCCATTGTGTGACCTTAAATATGTTACTTAACCTTATTTTCTTCAGTTTCTTGTAAAATGGGGATACAGTACAACCTGTGAAAGTTGGAACCTGTGTAAGATAGAAATTTGTCAGAGAAGGAAAACTCAGATATTTTCTGTTAATAGAGAGTGATAGAAAAGTGCTAAGATTGCACCCTTTCAAAGGTGGAAAACTTGCGAGACCTGGAAAAACAAGGCCGTCCTGTTGAGTTCTGGCTCTCACAGGTTTTGCTGTAATTGTCATAATTGTCTCAAAGGGTTATTGTAAAGATTAAATAATATTGTATGTTGTAAAGGACTTAGTACAGAATCTCGAGCATAGAAGTACTCAATAAAGTTATTATCCTGCCATCTGTTTTTAATTCAATTTCTTCTGTATGTTTACTTTCTCATGAGTGATATTAAAAAGTAACTTACTAAAAATAGAAAAACAGGTGTCATATAGTAACTGATTTCATAGGAAGATAAGTATACAGAAGAAATAGAGTTAGAATAAATTTGAGGATGGATGGTCAACAATAATTTGAGTGATTTTACTGAATACTGATACGATATATATACTTCAAACAAAAATCCCTACCTCCACAGAGTTTACACTCTAAAATGGAAGACAGTTAAAAAGTAAAGTACTGCATAATATGGTAGATGGTGGTAAGTGCTATGTGTAAGAACTGTAAAGTGTCTAGGATCTCACTCTACTTACAGGCTAACAAGCAAGCCTGTTGCTGTTTCACGGGTGCTGGAAGAAGACACCAAACACCTGGGTCAGAGGCAGAGGATGACTTCGTTACTCACGGCAAATGCAGTGGGCAGAACTTCATGTTTGTGCTAGGTCCCCAAGTCCCCCAAGTCCCATGGGGGCCAGGCTGGTGGGCCTGCTTGGATACCTGCACATGCAGTGAGTTGCATTACAGGAGAGGAACACTGAGGAATCTATTGCTTTTACAGCAAGTGGAAGCAAGCCTACCCTTTGTTTGGGGGGAAATGTTATATCATCTTTCAAGGTTACTCACTGCAAACACAAACCTGATAAATGGCCCAGGTAAAGAGTGATCAGGACCTTGCATTCTTGGCATACCCAGCAAGAATGTGCAGGGACGTTCAGGACCCATGGCAGATTTCCTCTCCTAATATTATAAAGAAATATTAAGCAGGACAGGAGGAGAGTGACTATTTAAATACTGTTCTATTTTAATTATGAATATAAAATACTGTCTAATACTGCTCCATAGAACAGGGATAGAAATAGTGTTCTATTTGACTTGAGAGTATTTTGTTATGTTTTATCTTTTGAAAATACGTAGATTTCAGTACAAATATGAATTTGTTACCTTGAATTAGATAATTTAATCCACAAAACTTTAGGAACTATTTTTCAGGGCTTTGAACCAGTTCGAACTGGTTCAGCCATGGCTGGCGAAGCAAAACTGGAAGAGACCCAAATTTTCAAAATTTGGGCAATCTGATATAAACAGAATGGGAAAAATTATGGGTTGAAGCCCTGGAATGGGAGACTCGGAAGAGGCTTTATGAGCCCCTTCAGGAGCCTGCTGCATGAGATTGGATTACTGGCAGGACTGTGGAGAGAGACACATTGAAAGTGGTGCGATTGGCTGCCATCTTTGAGTGGGGCACCAGTGCTTCCCACTGTGCGCCAAATTCAGTGGGCAAGGGACTTGGTTGCTATGCAACGTGTACGCTGCCCTTGTCTTGTAAGAGGGAGATTAAGTTTCTAACGGGAATTCAACCTGTAATTTTTCCCGTTCCAGTTATGGTTCCAGTTTGTCCAAATTAAAATTTGGGTCTGTTCCAGGTTTCGCTTCCTCATCCATGACTGAACCGGGAAGAACTGGTTGGAAGCCTTACTATTTTTAACCATAATCTTCAACTGTTAAAGATTGTTTTTAGCTTATCAGGGACACATTAGTCGGTGTTTTTCTTGGCCCAGTTAGTGGGAAAATTTATAGGGCTATAGTTAAAATCTGTCCCTGTACTTACACGCTTGTCATGTGAGATAAGGCATATTTTACTTATAGCATATTTGTTCCATGTAGCCAGGGGTCTTATGTAATTCAGTAGAGCAAACATTGCTTTTAAAGCTTAATTTTAAAATCTAAACCAAGCGTTTTTATCTCGAGTCCATTGTTAACTTGTATTTTGTGGTATTTCACTATTTACATGTGAATATTTAGATGTGGTGTTAATTTTCCTTTCAAAAATATGAGGATTTCCACACAGTATTAGATCCACAATGCAGCAAACATGGTGTTTAGTCTCTTAGGTAGACTTTTGTAGTCCAGTGCTTCTCAAACTACTGTGCTAAAGGATCAGTTTTTTGTTTTTGTTTTTTTCCAGTCCAGCATAGACTATTAACATGCAATAAAATAAACAAAAAATAGACTTACAAAAATAAAGTCCCCAATATTTTATTAGATTCAACAGACGGAAAACTGCGTAGTCACGTTGCCATAAAATTTCTAAATGCTTACTCTCAATATCTATACTTAACTCATTGCAGACTGCTAACAAACCCTGAACCACACTTTGAATGCTTTCATCTGCTAACCAAAAGGTCAGCAGTTCCAATCCACCAGCCGCTCCTTGGAAACCCTATGTGGCAGTTTTACTCTCTCCTATAGGGCCGCTATGAGTCGGAATCGACTCTATGGTAATGGGTTTGGCTTTTGTTTATTGTAGATTATCCTTGATGGTAGCAGCCTGGGGAGTTAGGATGTACCCACACTATATCCCTAATATCCATGTTTCTTGCATTTTTAAAGCCCTTTTTAAATCCATTTTTTAAAAACTTAGACCCATTAATGAGTTCCCTAAGTTTATGAATTATTAGAGAAGTCTTTTATTTGTCTTACATATCTTTCAAACTTCAACTCTCTTCATAATTAGAGTATTTTGGAATTTGGTGAGTGATTCCATCCTTGTTCTTCTCATAACCTTCATAATTCTATAGATTTTTATCATATCCTCTCAGCTTTCTTTTCTCAGACCAAGAATTATAATCTATTTAGTTTATTCTTAAAAGGCATAGAGGGAGAGTGCAGCCATGAGTTTGATTTAAAATCTGTAGTATGAATGATTCATTGTGAAACCAGGGTTCCTAGTTCAATTCCCATATGTGTCACTCAGTTTCAATTAGAGAAAGTTTGTTCTGTAATCCCTGTCAGATTTCCTAGTTGCTTCTGGTCACTAGTAATACCCTGTGAAAAATGTAGATTACTTAATGTAATCCTGCCATTGTTACTGTAAAAATAAGAGTGCAAAACTCTGATAATGGGTCACACATATAATAGAGTGTTGGCTCTGCCATTTTTCTCTAGCACTATTCCAATACAGGCATGGAAAATTTTATATTTCCCTCCCCAATAAACAGGAATGATTTCTAGCTCATAAGACATATAATACAATCCCAGTAAATGTTAGTAAATTTCCCCTTTCCCTCCACAAAGTACCACACATTATGTTAACCTTTTTCAACTAACTTGATTATTTCCCCATGCAGCCTGGAGGCCTTGGTTTGCCTGCCACTGATCTTGCAAATACTGGATGTCTTTATTCATAATTTGCTTTTATTTGTGGGTTATCAGTTCACTTTTTTCTCCTAACTACCCCTACTCAGTTGGGAAATCTTTTTTTCTATATCTGGTTTTATTATCTGATCCCTACATTTCTTATATTTGCAGAGTAATAAGTATTCCTCTAGCATCTAAAAGACTCCTGAGGCATCCACACAGAGTTGTAAAGTAGGTAGGCAGATGAAAAAGATCTGGAGCTTAGAAAAAGAAATGTGGATTGGAGATATGAATATAAAGGTCATTAGCATATAGATAATAGTTTTAAGTATAAATTGTTCAGAGAATATAAAAGAAGAAAAGATGGAATTCTGGAAAGCAGTAGCATTTAAGATATGGAGGAAGAAGCAGTGTAGGAAAGAGCCTGAGAAGAGCTTCCAAAAGGTAGGACAACGAGTAGAGAACATGGAATAAATGAAAATGTAGCAAAGCATTTTGGGAGTGATCAGCATTTTTAAATACTGCAGAAAAGTGATAAAATTACTGAAATGTGTCCCTTAGATTTGACAAATTCAGAGTCATTGTTTACCTTAAACAATTTTAGCAGAATAAAGGGGCCAAAAGCCAGACTACAGTAGGCTAAGTAGGAAATACAAAGAGAGAAGGAAATTACAAACATAGACTTTTTCAGTTAGTTTGTTTATGGATGAAAGGAGGAAGAGAGGTGCCAGTAGCTTCAGGGGTTGCAGATTAGAGGGACCAATGTTGGTTAGTGGGTTTTTTGTTAGAAATTTAAGCATGTTTATATATTAAGGGAGAGATGTCTGTGGAGACCAAAAAACTGTAGTGACTGATCAATAACTTAACGAAGACTGTTGGAGTTTTCCCTACTTTTTAAGTGAAATTGACTTGGGAGTGTTTAAGAATTCACGTTAAGTCCTATGGTTGTTTTTATAATTTTTTTATTACAAGAGTAACATATGATTGTTTAAATACAGAATTTCAAACCTTACAGAAGTATGTAAGTAGAAAGTAAGTCTTCTGTAATCTCAGTGATAACTTATTAGCAATTTGATGTATGCTATGCAAGTTTTTTCCCTGTTCATACGCTAATATTTACCTATATGTGAGTGTATGTTGTTTTGTAGCCTTTTTCATTTAACAGTGTAGTCAGATGATAATGATGGAACTAAAAGTAAAAATAAACTCAGCCTATAGAGATTTCTATGTCTTTAGTATTTAATAGATAATTAACTAACCTTCATATTCAGGAATTTTATTTACAGACACTTTATTCTATGTCCTTCCTCTTTAGAGTGGATGTAACTGAAATTCAGGTAGCTTTAATAATCATCTTTGTGTTGTCTACATTTGGAGGAGCAACAATGTGGGACTATACGGTAAATCTGAATATTTACATTTACATTTCTTCTAAGTACTTTACAAATATTTAGAAAAAATATTGCTAATTTTCTTCAAAAATCCTTGTATTTAATATTCATCTCCTTTCTTAACCTTTTTCCTTCATTTTTTAATTCTATTATCCTATATACCTTATTATGGCATTTTCCCCTATGCATATTACCACATAGAAGAAAACATTTCCCTAATACAAAATTAAATACACTAGTTGAACTACCTTTTCCAGGCCAAAATTTGTCTCATGAAACACTTAAAAAAATAAATCCAGTAAGATATTTTACATTTGAAACTTGTCCCTCAATATTAGGAAAGAAAAGTTGCTACTTTGCATCTTTCATAAACTACTATGAGGTGAAGATTCCCATATTAAGGAATGTTTCTGTTTTCTGCTTGGTTTGGAGCCTCAATATTTTGATAAAAAGGTGGTCCTTAGGAGGCCACTGTCATAGGACAGGAAGAAAATTTATGAAAAAATTATTCTGTTGCCACAATTTAAGTCCACAACACTGGTTAACTGAATCAACTTCATGCCCATAATATTGAGAATAACAGTAGAGGATATCAATAGCCAACAACTAATATTTATTCAACCCTTATTATATACCGAATATTTCACCATTACTGTTTCATCTGACCCTTAGAACAAGCCTATGAGATAGATACTATCATTATTCTCTGTTTTACAAATGAAGAAATTAAGGCTTAGAATGGTTAAGTGGTTTGTCCAAGGGTACACAGCTAGTAAATATTGGAGCTAAGAATTAAGCTGATTGATTCCAAACGGTTTTAATCACTAAGCTATATACCTCTAGTAAAAGAGGTTTCCCTGTGGCATTTAGTATTAGGATTACCAGTTGCAGTTCATTTCAGTAGGCTCAGAAGTAGACTTGGAGCATATTTTTATATAGTGGTACATTTCCCCTGAGGCATTCCTATACTTACTCATCATGTAAAAATAAATAGAAAAAGAATATGCTATAATAGGCCTGTACAATGTATCAGAGGAATATTTGTGTTTTTTGGTAGCTACTCAGCTAGTAACCATAAGGTGAAAGTGGACCTAGAAGCAGTTAGGCAGGTCTGATCAGTAAGTCAAATATGGTTGTCTTAAATTTGGAATCCTGATTTAGTTATAAGGATGTAAACACTGGGGAAGAATTAAATTTAATCTTAAAATAATTTCAACTTTTTTGCAATACCATAGGAAGAAAGCACACCTGTTTTTTCTCACCAGAGGATACTTGTTTTAAATAAAATTTTATTATTTTCAATACAAATTTGTTAACCTGTAGTTTCCACAAATTTTGGTATAATATTTCACAAGTCTAATTTCAAAAGACAGTAGCCTACAGCTTCTGGCAATTCATTGTTACTTTGTTTTAAATCCTTTGCTGCCTTTGGAAGTTTTCTTGAACAGCAATTGACCAACAGGTAAATATATTGCTAGCGATTTAATCCTGAATATTACCTACACACAATTTTTGCATGCACACACATTGTGACATTTTTCACATTTATAATGCAGATCATAGTGTCTGCCTTTTCCATGATTCCACCTTTTTGAGGCTATTAAATTCAAATGATCTATCCTTTCTCATGTTCCTTTTGAGTCAAATGAAGTTCTCATGAGATTAAATATTTTATCATAATTATGTAAGTAGACTTAGCCTAATTTGTTGGATTCACTTTTCACTTAATGAATAAAACCATTTCAAGAAATGTTACCACTTCAGCCTACATTCCAGAAGTTGAAGGTTTAGTTACAAGAAAAAGGACAGCTCATTGTACAGGGCCAAATGATAATGTTTCTTTACTACTTAATAGGAATAGAAATTCTGTTTTCTTAATGATTTCTTTCCTCTATTCCTAAAGATACCTGTTCTAGAAATAAAATGGAAGATCTTTCCGGTTCTTGGAGTAGTGGGTGGAGCAATATTTTCCTGTTCACATTATTTCCATGTTATCCTCCATGGTGGCGTTGGCAAGAATGGATCCACGATAGCAGTAAGGCATTAATTTTATCATTATACAGTACCAATTTTATGACAAATTTCCTTATCAGCTATAAAGAGATACTAAAAATATGCTAAAGTTTAAGAATAGGGAAGTGAACTAAATATTTATTTTAGGAACAATATAAAAGCAAGGAGGCCTGGTAGCGCAACAGTGAAGTGCTTGGTTGCTAACCGGAAGGTTGGTGGTTCGAACCTCCCCAGTGGCTCCTTGGGAGAAAGACTTGGCGATCTGCTCCCGTAAAGATTACAGCTTAGAAGACCCTATAGGGCAGTTCTAGTCTGTGTCACATGGGATTGCTGAGTTGAAATAGACTCAAAAGCACCTAACAAAAACAGCTGGACTAACATTCCATTTAATTATCCACTGTTTCATTACTGTACATAATTAAGACTTGTCATTTGTTTTCCTGTATTTTGTCCAAGGTCAGTGGTTTCACACATGGGGCAATTTATTACTAAGTAAATTTTATTGAAATTCCACTGAAATATACTTAAAGAACTAATCTTTTTCAAAGGTAAAAATTTTAACCTTAAGTTGAATGGGTACACCTTGTATTTGTGTTCTTTATACCTTGCTTATGCTGTACTTTGGAGCCCTGGTGGCATAGTGGCTAAGAGCTACAGCTGCTAACCAAAAGGTCAGCAGTTGCAATCCACAAACCCTCCTTGGAAACCCTATGGGGCAGTTTTGCTGTGTCCTTTAAGGTCGCTATGAGTCAGAATCAACGGCAACAGGTTATGGGTTCTTGCTATACTTTACTATTTGTTCATATTTGTTTTCTAAAGCATTCCTACCAAGTTTTTTTTAAACAAATATATATTGATACATTTTTTAAAAAGCCTATTGTCATCTTCAAGGTAGTTGAACATAGGAAGATAAGTACTTATTCTTATATAAAAACACTGTTGGTGCCTTTAAATGTTGATGGTCTTCAGTGTCGTAAAACTTGGTATAGAATTAGTCACATTATTTTTTAGCTGGTTACTAGTTTACAACATTTGTATATATGTAAAACTGGAATCAAACATCTGTGACACTTTATTACCTCTGTGTAACCCTAGGGTTCTGTGGGAGTTTAAAAAGCACAGCTCTGATCTATATACTTTAGGTCTCTAGTTCTTAGCACAAAATAGATACTGAAAAAATGTTTAATATAATAGATGCAATGTCAAAATATGATGCTGATTTTCTGCTTTATCCTTTAGGGCACTAGTGTCTTGTCACCTGGACTCCACATAGGACTAATTATCATACTGGCAATAATGATCTACAAAAAGTCTGCAACTAATGTGTTTGAAAAACATCCTTGTCTTTATACCCTAATGTTTGGGTGTGTCTTTGCTAAAGTTGCACAAAAATTGGTGGTAAGAACTCTTTTGATTTATGGTATAAATAATGTACTTGATCCTCAAATACAAGGCTAGAAACAATTTCATACAATGGGTAGGTTTTCTTTTGTGGTGTCATTACTATAAATGGTTAGCTATTTGTGCTCCAAGTGAAACTGTGATATAAGTCAATGTTCTATTCAGGGAGACAGACTTGTAACTATACAGTAAGTTTTTTAATTATTAGTTTAACTGTAATCATCAATTATAACTTTCTGATAGGAAGGAATTTAAATATTGAAAGCTTTAATAGGCTACCCAGTCATGAATTTGAGAAGGTTTAGAATCAGTATTCTAATATGAAATGTGAAATAGTCTCTTTATCCTTTTCTGTCTTAATATTGAAGTTAAAATTAATTCTCAGTCCTGAAAATAAAAGCTAAAATATTTAATAGTGAAATGATTTTGTTTACTTTTTTATAGGTAGCTCACATGACCAAAAGTGAACTGTATCTTCAAGACACGGTGTTTATTGGGCCAGGTCTTTTATTTTTAGACCAGTACTTTAGTAATTTTGTAGATGAATATGTTGTCCTATGGATAGCAATGGTAAGTAAGAACATTTCTGCTGAGATTTTTTAACAGATGTCAGATAAGACTATGTTTAAGGTCATTTACTATGTTTAAGGTCATTTTAGTGAGATATCAGTAGCCTCAATATCTAGAGTCTATACAGTAAATATTTCTGAAATTATATTTAAAATTACTTCTTTTAAGCTTGAATTATTTTATTGTGCGTAGAAATGGCCCACATATCTGGAGGTCAGGCTTCCAACGACTTAAATCCTTGAAGACACAACTGTGTGCCTCAAAAATATTAAAAATTTGCCATTGAGTTGATTTTGATAAAGGCGAATCCACGTGTGTCAGAGTAAAACTGTGCTCCGTAGGGTTTTCAATGGCTGATTTTTTGGAAGTAGATCATCAGGCCTTTCTTCTTAGGCACCTCTGGGTGGAGTTAAACCTCCACCCTTTTGTTAGCAGTGGAGCACATTAACCATTTGTGCCACCCAGGAACTCCACCTCAAAACTCACTTCACTCTGTCAAAGGACTGTAAATACTCATTAGTGTCTGACTTTTACTTAAACCAGCTTGTTAAAATTACAGATTTTAAGCAGATAACTGACAAATTAGACGGAGTTGTTGTTGAGTGCCATCAGATAGATTCCATCTCATAGCAACTCCATGTGACAGAGTAGAACTGCCTCATAGGTTTTTCTTGGCTGTAATCTTTACAGAAGTGGATTGCAATATCTTTCTCCCATGATGTGGCTCGTGGGTTCAAACCACAGAGAGCTTAACTACTGTGCCACCATAGCTCCTTAGATGGGGTTAGTGCTAGCAAATTAGATAGGATTAGTGCACTGAGAACTGACAACTGATATTGAGGAAACAGAACAGACAGTATTACCAAGTACAAACTTCTGAGACCATTTTGTGCTAGAAGCAAGCAACCATTTTGTGCTAGAAGCAGTATCTTTATCGATATGGCATAATTTGTATTTCAGTGATAACTGAGTTATCAAATAAGTTAAAATTTTCACTGATTACATCCTGCTTAAGAAAGGGAATGTGGGTTTTATATCTATATTAATTTCTATTCAAAATGATTGTAAAATACAGAATTATGGTGCTTAAGAGAGAAGCTTTAGCCATCTGAGGGAAAAAAATCATTGGTAACACTTCCATCACAGTATTGGATAAATGAAGTATTACTGAACTATATTTTGTTGGGATATCTTTATGGTTGGTTTTCAACTGATGGTGGTTCCTCAATTTTGTATACAATTTTGTATATACCTTCTCTCAACTATGGTGTCTTTTCCAGGCCTTTTACCTTCTTACAGCTAATCTGAAGGAATAATACATCTGATGGAATGAGTTCATTATAAGATAATGACTGATAGCCCCTGTAAGTAGAAATTTTGAGGCTTCACTGCACAGCAGAAAGTTGAGAGACTACAGAGTCAGAAGACCTGGGTTCTATTACTTTCTAGCTTTGGTATTTTAGTCTAGTTCTTTTACGTCTCTGAGCCACAGTTTCTGTAATTGTGAAATACCCTGCGTATTCCAAAGGACTATAAAACCCACTGCCATAGAGTCAATTCTAACTCATAGCTACCCTAGTGGTGGTGCAGTGCTTAAGCACTTAGCTGCTAACTGAAAGGTTGGTGGTTCGAACCCACCAGCTGCTCCATGGAAGATGCGGCAGTCTGCTTCCTTAAAGGTTACACCCTTGGAAACCCCGTGGAGCAGTTCTTCTCTGTCCTATAGGGTTGCTAAGTCAGAGGACTATAGTGATGGTCAAATGTGAAATAAATGAATGTACTCTAAAATGTAATATTTTCAGTGAACAAATTTTTTTTTTTTTTTTAAAGATTTGAGATTTGGGGGAAAGAGAAAAATAGCTGCTGCTTCAGAAAAGATAGACCATAATACATTTGTATTTTCTTTTTTGCTTCTAAAGGTCATAGCTTCATTTGATATGATGACATACTTTAGTGCTTTGTGCCTGCAAATTTCAAGACACCTTCATTTAAATATCTTCAAGACTTCATGTCATCCAGCACCTGAACAGGTTCACAAGCATATTGACTAACAGCCCAAGGAGAAGAGGAGAAGCAGTTAGGGGAACCTATGAGTGAAGGAAATCCCCTTTTGCAGGAGGCTAGTATACTATCAAATAAGGTTATATTTGAATATAAAACATAAGTCCTGCAGATTCCATTATGTTTATCTCAGTTATGAAGCCCTCCCTCATTGTATACCAACATTTTTGATCACAGGTGTTATCAGAGTGAAAGTATTAACAGTCTACAAATTAATTAGAAACAAGACCAAAGAAAGAAATCTCAATCCTGAGGATAAGAAAGTGAACCAGTATAGTCTAAACAGCAGCAAGCTCTTTGTCTCTGAGAAATCTTTTAGGCATTTGGAGTTTTCATTGCCAAATAGTTACGTACAAATTCAGGACCTAAAGGGTTTTACAGCTATTTTGAGAGTGATACTTACTTTGATTGCTAAAAATTGAAAAGTGAGATGATAGTGTACTGCATTAAGTGCATAGTTTATAATACTATAATTACTGTGTCCGACAATTTTATAAGATTATTTTAATAGCCATTTTTCAAAAGATGTATGTTCCTATGTTATTAAAAAATACTTATTTTAGTATACAATTAGAATTTAAAGGGCTAACTGGAATTTTCTATAATTCGTATTTAGTAACAGAAATTTGTCTTACTAGTTCAGAAAAACGAATCTACAATTGAGGGTAACTTGTTCTTTGATAATCTGAGTTACACTTTCATTGCCATAAGACACTGAACATTCTCTTACAAAAAATAAAAGTTAAAGCAAAGTTGACATATAAGAAAATTAGTAACTTAAAAAAACATTGCAAAATATCTTCCTTTTAGAATATTGGCCAAAGTTACTTTTAAGTACACACTGACTCATTTGATATGGTAAGGGAATAAAATAAGTATCAGCTGTTGGACAACTAAGTACATTATGTACTAATTCTTACCTTTCCACTCTCACTTAAAATTATTTAGATTGCTGATTATGAATACTAGAACTGTCACAAGGGTCTTTGTGATCCAAATCTTTAGACTTCCATCTGACCCTGTTTTTAATTTTATCCAATAGTTCTATAGACCATATGCCATAATGATGAAATAATCAGAAAAATAGTAAGAGTAATAACATACTCTTAAGAAAAAGGCCTACTAAATAAATAGTAAAAATTGATATTCCTTAAAAGGAAAAATATATATATACTTATATGAGTTAAGTACACAGAGAACACTCTGGTTTGGAATAGTTATTTTGCCTCTCTAACTACTGGCAAAACTTCTCAAACAAGGACCTTCGTAGAAGCTTGAGTAGTTCTTAAGATTTATATACCAACATACGTTTTGGCTTAAAAGGAAGATCCTTTACAAAATGCAAAAATTTAGGAAGTAATCATCTGTATCCTCTGGGTCAAATATTTATTAATGGTGAAGGACTTACTTCTTCCTGTATAACCAGTTACAAAAAGAGCATCTGTATGGACTTGTTTTTAAAAACATAGAAAACTCTGAGAAGGGTGAGTTATAGGGGTAAGTATTAGAATTTAAAACTTGCGGAAAAACAGGAGAAAGTCACTCCTCTCCTCCTAACGGGCATATTTTTTGTTTTGAATGAATTGAAATCAATCAATTTCAGCAAAAAATAAGTTTAACTGAATTATTTCAAACAAATGTTGAAACAATTTAATATTTATTAGCTCAAATGTTTCCAACTGAAGATTTCATGTTATTCTGTTTAAAAAAATACCCATTTTAAAAAACAAGGTGTAAGAATTATTCAAGTTTGGAAATGAAGAAATGTAAAATCAAATTTCCATATATTCACTGAATACTAAGCTTGAAAAAGAAACCATTCTGGGTAATTTACCTTGAAGACAGATGTGAAATATTTAAACCAAGTAATTAAGTAGGTTAACGAAATGCTGTTAATTATTGCTAAGGGCAGTGTGTCATTTAATTGTGGACTAAACTCAATTAAATGATATTTTGATGTTTTGTAGAACTGACATGTTCATAAATCTGTCTTAAAACTGATTGATAGTTACATATTTTGTCTTAGTGATTTTTAGCAGTTTAATTTATTCCAGAATACAAACTTTATAAGTTACTGTTAATAAATTTTTTAAGTCAGTAGTATAGATTTTCTTCTGAACTCTTATTTTCATTAGATTTTCATTAGAATTAGCTCTGTAACTTAATGAGTAGATACAAAAAGATGTACATATAAAATATTTTGTACTCTTTTCCTTAAAGAAGAAATACGTAATCTTCCATACTTGTGCTTTCTACCTTTTGGTGTACTGATACAGATACACTGAAGCCAAAACCTTAAATTAAATAATCTTTATTGCTAAAGTTAACTGACAGTATTAGGGATAAACATTCACTATGACTATCAAAGAGCTGAAAGCTTGATACATGTAACTTTCGAAGTGCTGCTACTCATATAACTTAGATTTTATTTAGGGTTAACAGAAAGGGGGTCTTGCACTTGACAAACAAGCTAATGAATAACAAGATGTTATTACAACTATAAAGATGTTATGTGCCCCTTAGCTAATGTTATAATTGTATCATATTACTTAGGTTCAAGTTCTTTCTTCAAAGAGTCATCAGAATAACATGGACTGAAGAGACTTTCGAACACTTGCCATCTCTTGCTGTTGCTGTTACATGAAGAGATATTAAACATTTGTTTAATATTAGTTAAGTGTTATGTGTATTTCAGCAAATAAAATATTTCAATGCCTAAATTAATTCTTAGTTTTCAGTTTTAAATATAACTACTTACAGTATCCATCATAATTTTCTTTTGCAACATAGCCATTTCTTTTCTAAGTTCATTTTGTGCACCATTAAAAAAATTTTCATGATTCTTCTCCAGGTCCTCCATACCCTAAAACACAAAAGGTTAGTTCAGTCACAGACCACCACTCTTCATCTTAAGCTCTAAACTTGTAAAGTCAATTTTCAAAAATAAGAACTTTTTAATATTCAAATAATGCTCATTTTTTACTCCAAATAAAATTCTAAGTCATATGTGAAGATCAAAATACCACTAAAGAAATTTTTAAAAAATCGTATTTGAGTCAAATATAGGAGGTACAACAGTGGTATACTTTGCTTAAAACAATGGGTTAATGAACTGTTAAGGTCAAGATGGAGCAAAATCAATAAATACCATAATTTTGAAAATCTATAATAACCCACTTATGACTAAGTGGGTTAGTCAATGTGACATGATTTAATTAGCAGTAATAAAATGATCTGTACTATGACCTTTCAGGTTATGAAAAAATAATTTTTTAAATCTTTAGTGTTCATCCAACAAATAGTTATCTAGTGCCTACTATGTAAAAAGTACTATGCTAAGTGCTGTGGAGGAATTAAAAACGACTACTACATGATTGCCCCCATATTCTGGTAAGAAGAAACCTTTTTTAAAAAACAAATTTTGTTTAATAGGTAGGAAAATGCAACTTGCTATATAGCTATGTAGTAGAAAATGGGAACTGATTCCAATTTAGCTAGCAAAAGAATAAGATTTCAATAGGTAAAGGAGGAGTTAAAAGTATTTTCAAGGAAGAGCCTAAGTAAAAGGATAGAAGTACACAGTTCAAAAAAACAATTATCTTGAGGAGTAGGAGAAAAAGAAGAACGTAGTAAATGAAGCTTCATTAAAAGGGGATCATGTAATAAAGGTGTTAAATACCTAAGAATTTAGAATGAGAAGTCACAGTTTTTCAAGAAGGAAAAGTATGGTTTAGGAAGATAATATGGCAGATCTACAAAGGATGGATTAGAGAACAGAGAAATCAGTTAAGAGTTTTAATAGTCCAAGCAAAGAATGATGAGGTCCTGAATGAACTAGGACGGTAGCAGTGGGAATTAAAAGAAAAATTAAATAACCACTGCAGAGATAAAAATTACAGAGTCTAGTAATGAAGGATAAGGGAGATAGAGGAGTCAAAGATAATACTAAAATCCTACCCTAAGTGGTAACATTTAGTAAAAATCTTTTCTAGTACTTTATCAAACCTTCGCACCAATTAATAAATGGTTTTTCAAGGAGCATTAGAGCAAGCCAACAAGCTCTACTAGGAAACTTTTAAAATGACTGTTTTCTGTTCGTGTGTGTATATATATATATTTATATATGTGTATATATATATATTATTTTAAACAGGGCTTTGAACCAGTTCAAGCCTCTGCTGAGAAATGTGCACTTCTAACAAGTTCCCAGCCGGTGATAATGATTCCACCCCAGATATACTGAACCAGAATCTACATTTTAACAAGATTCCCATAAAATCTTAATAATAAGAATCTTAATACATAAGCTTCTTAACACACAAGAATCACCTGGGGATCTTGTTAAAATGTAGAGCTAGAATCACTGGCATCAGCTGGGAACTTGTTAGAAATGCAAATTTCCCAGCAGGGGTTTGAACAAGAATGAACCGGTTCCAAGCCCTGATTTTAAAGTTCTTTTAAAAATATTTAAACTAGTTTACTCAAAGCATACAATTACAGGTAGTTACTGATTTATGACAAGGTTCTGTTCCCATGACTCTGTCATAAGTTGGTTCTCCGACATACGTCAAATACCCCTTTTTCTTCTTTTTAGTTTTCATTATTGCCTTTTATTATCAGTATCTTTATAAATCCAATCTTTTTGTCTTTGGGGGTTGGAAACATTACATATAAAAACATCTGCGAGTGAACATCTGAGAATAACATCAGCAAATTACGCACTGGAGCATTGTATGTAGTACATATTACTAACTAAGACGTACCAAAAAAAAACCAAAAAACAGATGGTTGTTAAGTGCAGCTCATCAGTTGTAAGTGTGGTTTGTAGTAACTCCAGTGTGTCATAAATTGGGGACTACCTGTACCTTGGAAGAGTGACATTTTAACGTGTATTTGAATAAGATTATTTAAAAGAACTCCACCATTTAAAAGAAAAAAGTACATGAAGGATTCCACTGAATTCCTGTGAATACTTACTAAAAAATATGTATCTGCATGAATAAGAAAGAGGTCAGTGTCACAAACAACATTTACTAAAATGCACATGTGGCAGATAAGTTTCAATCCACAAAATTTTAATCCTCAGGGGCCTTTTTATTCTATTATACATCGAGGCTCTCTCATGGTAACAAGTTGGCATATAAAGCCATTTTTTTTTGTCACTGTAATAATTTTAGAAGCAAATATGCCATAAATCCTTCTACAGTACATTTGAAAATAGAAGAGATATTCAGTAATTTTAGTTGGGTATTTCCTATTTAACAAACACTGGTGATACAAAGACAAGTTAATAGACTACCTAGAAATGATTTACACTTTCTATTTTCAATTATGTATCTACTGCTGCTCTCCTAAAAAACTGATTATTAAAGAACTATGATTAAAGTATTAAAGTATCAATTTTATGCATGATATGTACATTTCTAGGTAAAATCTCCAATTTACCATTTTCTTTTTTGAGTAATTCCTACAAAACCATTAATGAATCCTAAAAGTAAAAATACATTTAACACTTAAGTTAAATAAGGAATAATGAATTCAAAATGGAAAATGGTTAAGAATTTTAAATGTATAACCAAAATGTTTTTTTCCCATAAATTTGGAAAGAAAAAAATTTATTTTCTACTTCCATATATATACATTGTTTTATAAGAATGTATTGTGCTAGCAAATACAACTGACCTTTATGAACTGTTCATGTAACTGTTTAATTGTTTTCAGTCTCTGACTCTGAACAATTCTAGATTGTTGAAAGACCTTTTGTTGCTGTCGAAACATATTCTACAAATACAAAAAGAAAAAGTTGTGATAACACATTTGGGTAAAATTTTAAATTTAGCAAAAAAATAATTCTACATTAAAAGGAATATAGTTTTAAAATCAATAGATTTTTAACATTTGCTGTTTTAACTATTAAGATCATATTTAGTTAATTTGTGTTCACCACTAATATATGATAATCCTACCAGTTAAGTAGGAAATACTCTTTCTCAACAATATTCAAAACATGTCTTAATTCTTGGTGATTTCAACATCTACACAGATGATCCTTCCAATAATGCTGGCTTTTCAGTTCCTTGACTTACAATGATTTTGTCTTTCACCTTATTTTAGCCATTCTCTTACGTTGTCTTACCCTAGATTTTGTCATTACCAATAACTATAAACACTACATAGTATTAATAGCAAAAACTTACATAGTAACTGTGTCACAAACTGTTCTGAATCCCTCTAAATAAAGTTACATATGAACTCATTTAATTCTTAAAACAACCTTATGAGATAGGTACTCTTATTATATCCCCTTTCATACATGAGGAAACTGAAGCACAGAGATAATTTGTCTATAGCTGGACAGCAAGCAACTGGTAAAACCAAAATCTGATTCCACAGTCCAGTCTCTAAACATTATACTATACTGTTTCCCCATATATCCCACTAGTCAACCACTACCCTACCTACCTTTCAAGCTCACTTAGTACTATAGCTCAGTCATCTATCAGGATTTAAAATCCACTCATCCTACTACTTTCACTGTCCCTTATCCCCAACCCCATGTCCTCACTTTTTCCCAGCTTAAATTCCATGGTCAAGCACTATAAATACTCTCATGCATATATACCTTGCCCTTTCTCACAATCACATTTGCTTGGCTAAACCCCAACCCCGGAAAATGCAACTTTCCAGGTACTCTGCAGCTATTCACAGTTGTAGAAAAACCCACAACAATGTTGACTGGCCTCAATTTAAAATTATAATCTCTATTATCACTAACCTAAATTAGACCCTTAATGCTACTTGGCAATTACACTTCCCCAGTCCATTCACTGGCCCACTCAGAAAACTATTTCATACTTTCTCCTCTGTCCTCAAAGGTAACACCTCTTCCATCATCTTTACTCTTAACTGATGACCTTATTTCATAAATAAATAGAAGCAATCCATAAGTTACTTCCAGTCTCCCATCACATCTACCACCCACCTACTACATCCATCTGTGCTTGTATACTCTACCTTCTCTCCTGCTTTTAAGCATGAACTATCTTCGTTCCTTACTAAGACCAACTTTTTCACTGGCCACTAGATCCCACCTATTCTCAGCAATGGTTAGTTTCAGCAATTGTCCCTCTCCAGTATTTAAAAAATTTCCCTCCAGATTATTCCCATCAGCATACAAACATGCTGCTGTTTAGCTAATCTTAAACAAAAACTATATTCCATTTCTCCTCAGGCTACAATCGCATTTTTTTCTTTCCCATTTTCTTACTCATTCCAGTCAGGCTTTTGCACTCACTATTCCACCAAAATCATGCTTACAAAGATACCAATGATCTCCACATGGCCAAATACACCTTATTTGGCCCATCAGCAGCATATGACAGTTAAAAGGCTTTCTTCACTTGGTTCCCTTTCTACCTATTAGTATACTAATTCTCAGGCTCCTTTACTGGTTCCCCCTCATCTCCTGGAACAATGATGAAGTACTTCAGCGTGCAGGTCTTAGACTTCTCTTTAACATTTATAATTCCTTCCTTACTGATCTTACACACTGTCATGGCTTAAATTCTATCTTTATGCTGATAACCCCTAAATTTCTATCTCCAGCCCATCTGTCTCTCCTGAAATCCAGATTCATATATCCAGTGGTCTACTCAACATTGCCCCTTGGATGTTTTATATACACTTCAAATTTATTATTTCCCAAACTGAGATGATCAATCCTCCTCCCACCCCAAATTATGTGATATGAACAGTACCTTGGCTCTTAGATAAGAAACGCGTCATAATTTTACAGCTCTTGAATAAGAAATGTTTGATATTTTACAGCTCTTAGATAAGAAATGTGTGATAATTTTACAAACAATGTGAAGATGAAATAAAAATAGAATATAGTAGTTATGCAGCATATGGGTGGAACTGACTTCCAACCCTATAGGGATGGGCAGGTGATACAAGTTTGGCCATTATGAATAAACCATGTTCTGACCACAATGACTAGTTCGGGAATGGGCAAATGATCCAAACTAGACCAATGATACATTCCAGAGGACTTTTCTGTCTGAGCTATTGAGAAAGACTGTCTCAATGCACTAGAGTTACAAAACTGGTAGTAAGTCTAGGACTGCAAGAAGCTATCTTGCTTACCACATTGACAGAACCTAGTAAGAAATGGAGATAGAGCCCAGGTTGACAATACAGGGGCAACCCTTCCCGTCCCCTATCTAGCTTTGCCTAAAGCTAAACTGTTCTTGTTGTGTGCTATCAGTGGATTCCGACTCATAGCAACCCTACAGGACAGAGTAGAACTGCCTTCATAGGGTTTCCAAGGCTGTAATCTTTACGGAAGGAGAGCGCCACATCTTTCTCCCTTGGAGTGGCTGATGGGTTCGAACTGCAGAACTCAGTTAGCAGCGAGCACTTAACCACTGCGCCACCAGGGCTCCTTAAAGCGAAACTACTCAAACAAAATTCTCATTTTGTGCTTTGGCAAATTTCTGTCACTTGGAACTGCAAGACTCTCAACCAATGTAGGAAACAAAGATTTTTATGAGTTTCGTATATACCTATACTTCTCTGGTTTATAGTTCAGCAGGGTCAAAACACTTAGCTAGCAATGGGTAATGGAACCTGGCTTAAGTTCCATGGGTCTTCTACAAGGCTAGGCTCTATATTCCTATTTGAGACTTGGTTACAATAGATTCATTATAAAGCTAAGCATGATACCAACAACCAGTTTTTCTTCTTGTTCCTCAGCTTTCTGCACATCTGTATCCCACTGCTGAAGCAAAGTACGAAACTGCTGAGAATATTCTTCGTTAAGCTTCTGCCTATAAAACAATGAATACGAAAAAAGGTTAACATTCAAAACAAAATTTATCTGACAATTTATATTATAAAAAAGGAAATAATAGCAGCTTAAATCTTCTGATGGGAAACCAAGAAGTAAAATTATGATTTTCCTAACAAGCTAGTAATAGAGACGCTCTCTCACATACTTTAGCTCTTAAAAACTAATGAAATTTTATATGTATAAATTTTCTAGAAAAAAATCATTTTATCTCCAAACAGTTTCATTTTCTTCTACTGAATATAGGTTCTGATACGATATAGATTCAATGAGGTTATTTATCATATAGGATTTACAAATAGAAATATTTCACTTAATTTTTTCCCCACTTTGGCACAAATGTTTTATACAAAAAGGTTAACCCAATTCAGCTAAAATAGACAAATTATTTACAATATGAGATTGACCTTTTTCTACACTGTTGAACACAGTTACCTATCATAAAACTAATGGTTTATATACTTATCTGCTATTCAGCTAGCATATTTCTAGAATGAATATAAATTACTTTTATAGTAAGAAAAAGCCGTTATTTGAAAGAGGAGAAAAAAGGTAATCCTCAGTGACTACTAGGAAATATATCTCAATTCTATGAAGGAATCAAGTTACAGACCTAAAGGATTTATCAGCTTAGAGAAAAATCAAGACAAATGTATTTTTCACTAATACTCCAATAAATAGAAGACAATAGGATTTTTCATTAGTAGTTTGCTTAGTTACCCATGGATACTAATTAATGATACAAATGTGTAGCTCTAAAAATATAACAAACTTACCTTTGCTGTTGTTGTGTTTTCCAAATACTTTCAACTTTCTGGTTACTGCTTTTGAGAGAAGCCTTCGTATACATTTCTAATCTTTTTCTCTTTGCAAGAAGAGCCTTGTTAATGTCAGCTATATTGAAAATATTCATTAAAATTTAATGCTGAAGAAAATTATTTTGTTCCTACATATTCAAATTAATTATGAGTAAAGTTGATTCAACAATATTGGAAAAATATTTTAAATTAAACTTAAAATTAGACATTTTAAAAAGCAAGATATTTGCTCACTTTTTTCTGCTGAGAAAATTTTCAGCTACTAGTATGCCAATTCTAATTTTTTGAACTTCAGATAATTTTTTTAAAATTTAGAGATGATAAAAAAAGAGGTAACAAACAAAACAGTTTCTATTTTCCAAAGTATGTATAAGGGATCTCAAGAACAGATTAATTTCCTCATGAAAAAATACTTACAAAGGCTAAATATTTCTAAGTTTATAAAATTCCCTCCAATTAAATGGACACATTTAGATGAATTACTGTTAGAACTCATTACATAAAACATACAAAAGTAATCTATAAAAAATTGGAATCCAAGTTACATAAGAAAACTATTTTTAAAAATATAATGATACTTTTAAAGCATCTTTTTTACTAAATGAGACAAAGACCAAGAATGATAAAAAATTCTAGTTTCAGAAAATAAATACATTTAAGAACACTTTTAAATACTTTGTGAAGTTTTTTTTTTAAGAAGGACATTTTTACCCATAAGTACTGCACTTCATACAATACTTCAAATAATGCTTTGCTAAACATATGCTTTTGTGTTATGGATTTACTATCAATAGTTATTTTTTAGTAATCATGATGCAGCTGAACTATTATACAACTATTTTATACTTTAGTATCCATCAATAATAATGAATTTATAAGACAGCTCATTAAAACCAGATTTTGTCACCACAAGTTAGAGTAAAGCTCCCAAAAAGGACTTGTTCGTATGAATAATCCATATAGAGGAACAAAATATTGACTATTTTTGAAGAGTATTGTCCTCTAACAATTAACTCATTTGACATACCATTTAAAACTATGAAATTTTAGATCTGATTATATATCTCTTACTAGATAGCAAAGTTGTCTTTAGTTCTTAACTACATAATTAATGCAAAAATGAAAGTTATTTTAGAGGCTTCAATTTACACTGCTCTTTTCTCAAAGAACAAACACAGGAAAATCATAAAAATGACTGAGAAAAACTGGAATGTGTACACGTGTGTGTGTAGTCACTCCGTGAACACAAAGAAATGTAGAGAGTTTTCCCACCCATGTTTCTTCTGATATTCCATAGTCCATTAAATTCACACATGTATAAAAGTACCACTCTTACCTCACCACTGTTAGGACCATTCTCACTCTTCATATCAACAATTTGAAAAAGGTAAGTAAGGAAATCTATGAAGGTGAATTACACTACTTATGCATAATCCTATATAAGAGAACAAGGCATTAGATAATAGTCCTGTAGTCTACTAATTAACATTTCCTATTATACAGGTCAAGAAGCCCTGTGGTACAATGGTTAAGCACTCAGCTGCTAACTGAAAGGTCGGTGGTTCTAACCCACCAGCAGCTCTGCAGGAGAAAAGACCTGGTAATCTGTCCTATAAAGATTTACAGCCTAGGAAACCCTACCGGGCAGTTCTACTCTGTCATATAGGGTCACTATGAGTCAGAATCGACTCAATGGCACACAATAACGTTTTAAAGGTCATATGGTTTAAAACAATTTTCTTTACATACAAGTATCTTCTAAAACATACCTCCAAATTTTTCCAGCATATTCCGTACTTCACCCCTGTGAAGAAATTACATTTAGAACTTTTAACTAAGGATACACAAAATACCAAGCTTGTTTTGGGAAAAATATTACATGCTAAGTGTTTTACATACAACAATTGTCTGTGACCAAAGTCGAATTTGTTAGAAGTAACAGGCAAACATTATTTTGAACACATTACCCCACATCTTCCTCAGCTATTCCTGTGGAAGGCCTTTTCTTCCCACGCTTATCAATTACTGGAGTCTTTCCTGCATTGACAATAAAAAAGAAAAGCATTCTTGAACATAAATATGCTACTTCGGTAATTTTTAATGAAATAATATTCTCATTTTGAGGTCTTGGCTTTTTGCTAACAAAAATTTTTAAAAGCAGACGTATAGTTTTAAATAGTGGGTTCAAACAAATGAACTGTAGGACACTGTCACTGCCCAAGGAGGCCTAGTGGAGCAGTGGTTAAAAGCTTGGCTGCGAAACAAAAGGTCAGCAGTTTGAATCCACCAGCCGCTCCTTGGAAACACTATGCGGCATCTCTAGGCTGTCCTATAGGGTTGCTATGAGTTGGAATCGACTCAACTGCAATGGGTTTGGTTTTCTGGTTTGTCACTGCCCAAAGGTATTAGATATACTGTACCTTCTGGAACATCCTCCTCTGAACCACTTAGATCCTTTTTATCTTCTTTCTCAAAGTCATAGGCTCGTATAACCTGATCCTCCATTGCTGACTTCATAGATTTTCCGGTATGCTTTCTTCTGGAAGGTGCCATTGGTAGGTTTTTTCTGACTTTAAAAATAGATCTCTCAAATCTTCTTATTCTAAATACACTATTTAAATATACTGGTAAATTTTACAATTAGAGTTACTGAATAATTCGCTTGGTTAATTAAATTAAAACAAAAACAGAAACAAACAAAAACTGTGAAATTTTCTCATTTCTCTTGGTAGGTTAGCTAAAAGGTAACAAAGATAACAGCGTCAACACTGACTCCAGGTTGGAGATAGATCTGTGGACTACAGGGTCTGAATTTTCGCCTTGCCGCTGCCAGATTCACGCTGGCTAAATTTCGGCTAATCTAGTCTCTGCATCTCAGTCACAAAGTGAAAAGGTGATTGTTGGTAAGACCGATCATAAACATGCCAACGATAAATTCACAGCAGTATAAGCATATAGTAAAAATTCCGCAAGCTGTGCCTCAGAAAATTAACGTCCAAGTGAGATTTCCACAAAATATACACCGAGGAAAAACGAAGGAAGCCCTTGGTTAATTTTAATTGTTTCGGGGTGGGGTTGGGGGTTTGCGGGTGAGCAGGCGGGAGAGGCAGATGAAGTCCCCCAGCGACTTTAGCCTTCGCATCTCACTCGCCGCTGTGAATCTTCCAAAAGCGTCCTGACTTTCGACCCTGCTTTGAACCGCCCTTCGCCCGCTCAGACCCGGCCCTCAGTAAGGTTCGCCGCCTTCATTTTCCTGTCAGAGGCCCCAGGTTAACACCATGTAGCAGATTTACCTCACCGGTCACGAGCAGCTTCCGGGCCAGACTCCCAGACTGTACAAACTCCTCCCCTCCTCACGGCAGAAAAAACCCCAAAGGCCACAGACCACAGTTATCAGTTCCCTGAAACCTGAAGCACCAATTCCAGCCTCCCCAACCCCCGCTCCTCACCCAAAGTGTGCACTGCTTCTCCGCGACGCTCCTCTGAGGCGCCTCGGAATTCGCGCGGGAGTAAAACCGCTCACTCACAGTGACGCGCTCTGATTGGTTGGCGCGGGGCCGCATGCGTGCGGCGGGGTAATGGAGCCCCGCCCCCGTGAGACGACGCCCGTTGTAGCCGCTCACCCAGAGCTCCCTGCGTCCCCACTGATAGTTGACTTGGGGTCTGTCGCTTTCCAGTTTTTGCTTTTAATTTAGTATTTTTATAATACTTGAAAGTTAACAAAAGAATATGTAAGTTATGAAATATGATGAACTGATCGTGTAATTTGTAAAGTAGAACTTTACCAACACCCACTGAATCTCCTCATGAAGTCCTTTCCATCCCATCAGGCTCTCTCCTTTCAGAGGTATAATCCTTATACTAAATTTTGTAAATCATTCCTCCCTCTCATTTTCAAAGTTTTTGTTGCCACATTATGTCACTAAGAAAATCTAGGTTATTATTCGGAGCCCTTGACAAGTTGCCCTTGAGTTGACTCCCAATTCATAGCAACCCCATGTGTGTCAGAGAACTGTGTGCCATAGGGTTTTCAATGGCTGATTTTTCGGAAATAGCTCACCAGGTCTTTCTTCTGAGGTGCCTCTAGGTGGCCTACCAACTGTAGCCACAGTTCTTTCATTTTTCACTGCTGTGTGATATTCCATTGTGATAGAATTCCATAACTTATCCATCCATTTTCTTGTCCATGAATGTCTGGGTTGTTTCCAAAGTAAGACCTTTATAAACAATGCTATTATGAAAAATCTCTTGCATATGTGCTAAATTCTCCTTTTATTAGTGTTTTTCTAGCTATTTCTCCTTAAGTCTCTTATAGTTTTTCCTTTATACTTTTCATAATGCCCTTCATCCATTTTTTTCCTTACTTAGGTTCTTATTGAGGACCTAGATTGTGTATTCTTTCTTCCAGAGAGATTTCTATTTCCTTCAGGTAGGTTTTAATAGGGTACTGCCGAACAGGGACACTTTTCAAGGGTCCAGGTTTCATGTGGGAATCTCAGAAGTGTTTCCTTTACCCTGCAGTGGGCCTAAAAGCGTATTCTCTGACCTCAGCATTGTTTATCAGCAATATTTGCTTACTGCAGACTTCTTGTTTAAGCTTGTGTTTTTTCTCCTTATAGAGTTCCCTTACCTTCTGCAAGCTCAAAATGCACTTAGGTATGTTTTTATAATGAATAGTTATATTGAAACAGGAGGGCTCTTCAGAGTATCTGATCCGTCATATTATTGAAAATCGAAGAATTCCCTTTCTGTATTTAATTTTTAAATTGGGAAACTCCTCACCTCTAATTATTATAGGACTCCTCAATATTTCTAAAACCCCCCCTTCTCTATCCCAACATCACTATCCTAATTTACACCTTCATTATTTTTCAACTGCTTTATTGCTATCTAATTCTGCACCTTGCTGCTTGTGACATTTCCAAAATAAAAACTTGATCATAGCCTCTAATGATGATGATGATGATAAGAATAATTATCATTAGCATAGCAGCTGCCATTTAGTGGTCACATTTTATATGACAAGCACTCGGTGTATATGCTAGTTCTCTCAGAAACTTACAACATGGGTGTTATTATTTCCATTTTATGGATTAGAAAAACAGTAGCTTGTAAATGCCAGAGTAAAGATTTCATATCAAATTTGTCAAACTCTCAGTTATTAGCCCTATACCATGATGCCTAAGATTCTTCAGTGGTTCCTCTGAGCCTCCACAGGAAAATCCAACCTACTCATCTGTCATACAAAGAACTTTAGCCTCTTAAATTGTTTAACTCCCCTTTTCTCTTCTCCATTCTGAGCTTCTTGCAATTTCCCCAAGTACACCATTGCTGTTTTGTGCCACTGGGTCTTTGCACAATTCAACTTTCTTTTCTGTAGAGTATTATTTATTCTGTTATTAGTATTTATTCTGTAAAGTTAAAAAAAAGGCAAAGATGTCACTTTGAGGACTAAGGTGCACCTGACCCAAGCCACAGTATTTTCAATCACCTCATATGCATGCGAAAGCTGGACAATGAATAAGGAAGACTGAAGAAGAATTGATGACTTTGAATTATGGTGTTGGCAAAGAATATTGAATATACCATGGACTGCCAGAATGAACAAACCTGTCTTGGAAAAAGTACAGCCAGAATGCTCCTTTCTCCACTCATCATACTATTAAAATCATCTGCCATAGAGACCTTACTATTCTGCCTCACTTTGACTGTGATGGAAAACTGAGTAATTATGACCAAGCAGATTTAGAATTTAGAATTCATTCAATTGCTCATTATTTGACAAATAAAAACATTTGTGTGAGCTTTACTGCCCTTTAAAAGTTTTCATAATGATTCATTTATTTATCATAATAACCATTTGGATAGAAATTAGAGTAAACTCACTTCATAATTTAAGAAACTGGGCATCTAAGAGGATATATATTTACTCAAAATCACAGAGCTACATACTAGAACTAGGACAAGATCTTTGGTATTTTGACTCCATTGTTTGCCCCTGCTCATCAACTATCACTGTTCTGTTTTACTTTGCTGCCCTTGAAATAAACCACATCTTTAGCTGTGAGAAGTAATCTCTAGCAGTGTTTGCATCTTCCAATAGTAAAATACTTCCTACTGTTAACTGTACACATTAAAGCCCTTTATAATGGTATTGTTTCCAGTATAAATTTCAAAATAAATAAAGAAAAATACCACCTTTGACATTTGGGAATGCAACTAAAAGTTATGAAACAAACCCATTGATGAGTTCACGCAGACCAGAATATGAAAAGAAAAAACAGCCCATCCCCTATATAGCATAGATCAGTAGTTCTCAAAACTCCTAATAGTGTGCATCAAAATTTCCAGGAAGTTTCTGATTCTTTAAGTCTGGCATGAGGACAGAAATATGTTAACAGGCACCCCCAGGTGATTCTGATACAGGTGGTTAGGGGGTCACAATGGCCTAATTAATAAAAATAATCTAAGGTAAGCACTGTGGCAAGTCCTATATTTGCCTAACCATTATATCTTTCACCCCTACATTCTTATTAACAGAACCTTGACTCCCTTGCAGCTAGGCTTGTGCATATGACCCATTTCAGAAGCTGGGGCTGGCCATGTGATCCATCAGAAGTTGCAGGTGGCATTCTGGGAAAGCTTATATAACTGGGCAGACTCAGCTGGCATCCTCCTTTTGATCTTTCCCCTTCATCCTGCGTGGAACACAGATGCAATACTTGTGACCATAGAGACAAAAACTATATACTAAGGATGGAGGAGCAATAAAGGGGAAGAACATGGTTTCTTGAATTGTGGCACCAGCCTTGGATTGCCTATTCCTAGTGCTTGTCACCTGAAAAAAACACTATTTGAAATTCAGCCAAATGTAATTCTGAATGATATAGTAGTGCATAACTGAAATTTATTTTTTACCCAGCTTGCATTAGCTAGGGTAGACCACTGCTGTAACAGATAAACCCAGGCATGTATAATGACTAAAAAAAAAAAGTTTGTTTCCGCTGGGAAAGTGAACAGGTCCTCAGGGCGACCTTTATCCATGCAGTCATTTAGAGACCCAGGTGGATGGAAACTCTGCCATTCTTCAACATGTGGCTTTCAAGATTGCCCTGTGGAGTTGCTCTCCATTCCAGCCAGCTAGAAGGGAAAAAAGTTCATGAGGAGCTCTAGGTAGGAGGTTTTTATGGTCTAAGTCTGAAAGTGACACACATCATTTCTGTTCGCATTCCATTGACTAGAACTTAGTCATATCGCATTCTATTGACTAGAACTTAGTCATATAGTCACACCTAACAGCAAGGAAGGCTTGAAAATGTTGCCTAGCTGAGGGCCCAGGAAGAAGAGAAGAAAAAAGATTTAGGTGAGTAGCTAGAAGTTGCTGCTACCTACCCTTTTCCAAAAAGCATTTTTAAGTATAATGTTTTTCAAGGAGAAACTCATAAAAATGGTCTAAAGCATAAAATGAAAATTCAGCACAAAATTAAATTAAGCTCTGCCACTTATTAACTGTGAGACTTTGGGCAAATTACCTGACTTCTCTAATCTGTTTCTTTCTTCACTAATGTAATAGGCATTAAATAGTGTTTATCTCAGTATTTTAGATTAAATGAAGTGAAATAATACATAAAAATTCTTAGTAGGCATTTGATAGCATAGAGAAAACAATAAATACAAGCTATCAATAATATTACAATGGGTCACTATTGTCAGTGACAGTAAGTACTGATACACCGTTAATAAGTATTAATAAGTCACTGATGTTCTATTTCCTGAATTTCAAACATATAAATGCCTACTAGAGGGTCACCAAAAAAGAGGAAGATCCTCAACGAGATGGACTGACACAGTGGCTGCAACAATGGGCTCAAGCATAACAATGATTATGAGGATGGCGCAGGACCGGGCAGTATTTTGTTTTGTTGTACACAGGGTCGCTGTGAGTCAGAACTGACATAATGGCACCTAACAAATTACCAGACATATTTAATAGCATAAAAAATTAAAAGTTTAATCTTAAGAATTAGAATATTTTATTAACAAGTATGGATTTTAGATGGACAATATAACAATTCTTTCAAATATTAGAATAATTTAGAATATATAAAATATCACAGGGCATTTCTGAATCTTCAATGAAGTATTAATATTTCTCAAAAAAGACATAAGAAGTTGACAGCTATTTAAACAAAAGGAAAACTGGTCTGGTTTAGAAGGACCCTGTGGCGTCACTACTGTCACGTTTCACTTGCCTTGAGACAACTCTCTCACATGCCGCCTCTCCAATTCTGCCTGCATTTGGCAAATAATACTGTTTTATTAAAGGTTTTGTGGGGAGACACTTTGTACATCACACAGAAAAACCTCCCAGACATCCCCTTTAACCGAGCCTCCTCTCAATCCCTGCAGGAGAGTCTTCTGGCAGCTTCCAGCCCTCTCCCACTCTCTTACTTGCTTGCCTCCCCACTGCACCTCTCTTCTATTTTTCCTTCTTCCTATTACCCTGGAGCTTCCTTTTTGGGTCTATCACTTTCTAACACAAATAACATAACTTGCTCATGGTCTGTTGCATCCTCCTCCATAACCCTACTTATCTCAAAACAAGGGTGCCTCTTTTAGAAGGTTTGAAAGGGTCAAGATTATACAATAACTGATATTTTTGCAATCATATTTTGAAATAAACTTTAAAAATTTTGAAAAATAAAAGAAATTAAAGCATAATTTGGAAAGTTAATCCAGGAAGATGTCTCAAGCAACCTTGTTATCTACCCCTCGATCTCCCCTATTCTTTCACTAAACACTTCAGCCTCTGGCACAGTTTTCCCACCCCAGTACCTGCCCTCATCCTCTGGTCTAGAATTCCTCAAGGTCCTCATCTACAATGATCTGCCCCTACACTCCATTCAAAGTCTCCCAACTCTACGACCATACCTGAAACTACTCCACCTTCAAAATCCTGCCTTCAAACCTCCTCCTCTCGAACCACTGCTGTCTATAGTTCCAGTTCCCTTAGTCATCTGTCAACCATTTGCCAACCTCATCAGGACTTCCAGTCCATTGACCTTTTCACTTTTCCTCTCTCCATGAGCCCCCTCCTATCGTCTTAGATTCAAAGTCCATATTTCAAGTCAGTCTCTTGCAAATAACTCCCTGTGCTTTCATTGTATTTGTCTGGCAAAATCCTATTTCTGCAAAAAACTAACCATCTTTCTCTGTG